CTTTCTTGATACTAAGCCTGATTAATGAATGACATATGATCATTTTGCCACTGAACAGATAAACCAACTTGTCTCTAGAACTCGAAACATTCAGGCTTTTTTCTCTAGAGACTACTGAAACTGAACATGGAAGGTGTGCACTCATCACTAGACTTGGACCAACCTCTTGAACATTGGTTATTACCTATAAACCTCTTTGGGATATGGTACTGAGATGTCTCAGGAACTTCCTGGCCAGATGTGATTCTGCTTGTCCAGTACAGTCATCTAGGGGGGGGCCTGCTTAAAGGTCCCACCCCCACAGGAGGTACCTTGGACAGTGAGCCAGATGATAGTTTTTGGTATTAGCATCCATACTCTGGAATGTGCTTTTCCTTTTAGCCTTGACCCTCCACACATTTCTCAAGGCTTTGTAAACCATTCTGCTCAAGGATACCTCTGACGTGGGATGGCTGTGGGTGACCATCCATTATTGTGATTACATATTGTTGGTATCAAGCTTGTTTGGGTCTGCTTTTTTATGTCTCTCTTGTATACTGCCCCAGAGTCTGAATGATTGGGGCAGTTTACAAATATTGGGGAGAAAAGGAAGAGAGTAAAGAGACATGGTAACTTGGAATTCCTACCTTAGATGCTTCTGATTCCAGGGGCTGTCTTTGGAGTGTTCCTTTCAACTCAGGCAGCTTAGAGTTTTCTTTCTTAAGTGAGGATGATTCCACTCTCTCGCCTTCAAGTTGCAGGCTAATTCCTTCAGTGCACACAGACAGATCGATACCATTTGGACTAAGGCTGCAGTGGATAGCTGGGAAAAGGAATTAGAGTGAGTTTGGAAGACAGGAAAGAGGAAAGGAAAGGCTGATTTTAGATGGTGTGCCATGTTCTATCACCTCCCCCAACCCTCAGCATCTCACAAGGGAATGGCACTCTGATACGTGGGCTGAAATGATAGAGGTATCCAAGCAGGAGCTAGTTGGGTTTGCAATTTTATGGGGCAGAATGGTTGTACCCCATGGTTGTACAATTTTTATCAAGGAGGCCCTGGATTTGGTGTAGCATGTCAAGGAGTGTATTCCTAAAGCAGAGCCCATTTTGAACGGTTCTAGCAATTTAAAAGGTGAAAGGGGTGAATTAAGCACAAAAATACAAAGCAGTGACCGAAATTTGGAGACCTATCAATTCTGGAATGGTCTGGGGACCACAAAAGGAATGCCATTCCCCTCCACTTTTTGTACCTGTGCCCATTAACACAGAAGAGGGCATAGACTGACTACACTAGCACTGTTCCTGCTACTGTTATTATCTTTCATATAAGAATACATTATAGATCACTCAAGAAATCTCTCTCTGCCACAAATCAATGCAACAGGAAAATCATAATGTATCTTCTACCGAAAAGGAAACACACACACATACAAATGTTTCCCTTGCATTTTGATCTTGTTTTGTAAGTGAAACAGTATGAGGGGTACATTGCCTGATATTCTTTTGATGTTTTGGGTTACATCTCACATATTGCTCCAGTCAGGGAACAAAATTCAGGGATTGTGGAAACTGTGATTCAAAATACCTGAAGAGCCTTTAGTTGTCTATCCCAAGAATACCATTTACTTGCCATCTTCCTGAGAACACCAATTACTTTGGAGATTACATTGCTGCCAACTTCAAGTCAGTGCATTTCTGAGTGGCAGGGAAGAGGGGAATTATTTTATCCATGGCTAACCAAGCAAAGATTCCAAACACTGGCATCTCATTGAGACCAGGCAGAGAAAGTTACTGAGACTGAGAAACAAAAGAGGATATTTCAAAACACAACTAATAACGAAGAAATGGATGTTCCAGTGCCAGCTTTATCTGGGAAAATGGCATTAGACCTTTAGTTTTGCATGCAGGGAAAAAGAGGTTCAAACAATTCTGAGACACCACCTTAATGAGTTTGCTCATGAATGAGGGAGGGAATTTAGCTTATTTACTTTCCGACATCCTGTTTCCTAGCCACTTCTTTCTTGATACTAAGCCTGATTAATGAAACTTCATGGGAAGTTTGTTTCCCTGGCCCTGGTCTGCTGTTAGGGTCTTGACAGAGTACATTTTTCACTTGTAATGATTGCATTTCTAATGCAATTTTTAATGTGTTAAGACAGTTATCTTTGATAATTGTCTTGGAAAGAGGAAATATTTTAAACCAACAAAAAAGCCATAATAATTATTGCATATAGACATAGAACAAAAATACACATCTCAGGTTCAGGATCATGATGCTAGCATAGCATATTCTGAAATTTTCCAAACAAAAAAATTCCCTCTCACACCTACCAGTCTGAGAGCCAGAGTGTTTCAGGCTAAGCAACTTCCCAAATGGTCATCCTGACTTCCTTTTCTTTTTACTGAAGAAAGCATCATATACTTTACTAGAGCCACTCACATGTCAGCCCCACTATGTAGGCCGAATTAAGAAGCTAACTCCCTACAAAGACTCAAACTACTTCCATTAATATTGGCTATAGTAACAGAATCTTGCAAGTCTGATTATGCATTACTTCCCCCTCCGCTCATGCTCATGTGAATTAGGGAGGTGTCTGCTTGAATATTTTGCGCATGTCTTCTTGTTTTGGATTTAAGCCATGCTTTCCCCTTGCTGCTTTGGTAATGGATCTGGCCTATCGGTCAAGGTCAACTTCCTTACTCTCGACACATTAATGAACCACTTTCCTCCATTTGCAGCAAAGAGGTTCATAAGCTACATTTGGCTGCAGCTCTCTGCCTGGCAAAGGAGAAGGTACGAATGAAGGGGGAAAATAAGACAGCATTTGTTGGATCAGTTTCTACTGAGACCATCTAATCTAATATTTACTCACTTCTAACATTGTCAGCTAAAGATAGGAGCATATAACAAGACCCAAACCCAGCAAATAAAGTAATACTGTTATTGCTCTTTACTTTGCCCATTGAGCCAAGGAAAATATGTAGACTAGGCTTTCTAAAACCAAAGTGCAGATGTTTCAAAAAGGGATGAAGTAATAATGATGGGAGTCTTCAGTTACCCCAACATCTGTTGGGAGGCAAACATTACCAATTCCTGACTTGACTTGGGAACACCCTTCTTCTTCAGAGGATAAAGAAAGACTAAGGAAAATAATTTATCCTTGACTTGATAACCAAATGAATCATTTGCCAGGACTGGACATCACCTGTAGAAAGCACCTTCAAAGGCTCAGGAAAAGATGCAGCTTTATCATGTCCTACATGCACACAAAATCACATTTTGTCCTTCAAATCCAGATCTCTGTATAACTCTTTTTGATGTTAACCAATAAGGGAGACTTAGTTAACGAAGTAGAAGAAGCAGAAACGATATAATGGTATGAAATCTTGAAACAGTGGGTTTCAGTAAACATAAAGCATAATAAAAATATATCATGACAGAAGAAGCTAATGGCAGAAGATGCCTCAATCCTGTTAGTCTTCAGGAAAGCTTCGGGCTAGGATGCTAGATGAACCTATCTTGGGATGTGGAGTATACATTGATGTGCCCCGACTGTTTGTTGTCTTTCTTTGATTTTCATTGTTTTGAAGGATGCTGTAATTTTGATTTTGCTATTGAATGCCACCTGGAGTGGTATTTTTGTAACTTGGGTGGCTTTATAAATTCTTCAATAAATAAATATTAAATTAATAATGGGAAAGGAAATGTCAAATTCTTAGGAAGGAGAGACTGAGCACAATTACAAACAATTCCAGTCTGAAGGGGAGGGGAAATCAAGCACAGCAGAAGAAGCCAATCTGGCTGCACAACAAAAAACTTAGGGAAAACCTGAAAACAAAATGACACATTGAGGAAGTGGAAACAGAATCAGCTCACCAAGGAACAGCATACCCTGATAGCTTGAAACTGTAAAGATGGTGTCAGGAAAGCTATAAAGCAGAATGAACTGAAGTTAGTGAAGGCAGGCTAAGTAAGAAAAGGGACTTCCAAATAAAAGAATGGAAAAAATCAGCATACCATCTATTCAATGAAGGCATTAAATGCTAGCAGATAACTAAGAAAAAGCAGAGCTCTTAAATCCTGTTTTGGCTCAGTCTTCTCAAAGTAGAGTCCTAAAGAAACTTGATGATGATCTGGTCAGATTTTATGTACTGTATTATCTTTGATAAATCCTGGAAAACTGATGAATTGTGGGATGGCTGAAGGAGGGAAACTGACTCTGATTCCTGGGAAGATTCTACAGCAGATCATAAAGAAACTTGTCTGCAAGTACTTTAAAAATGCTGTGATAATTACCAGAAGCCAGTATGGATGTGTCAAGAAACTTTATCTCATCTATCTTTTTAAATCTGATCCTTAGTAGACTGTGGGAATACTACAGATGCAATACATCTTGATTTCAGCAAATCATTTAACAAAGTATCCCCACAACATTCTGATTAGCAAGCTAGTTAAGTGTAGGCTGGACAGCATAACAATTAAATAGAAATATAATTAGCTCAACAATCATGCTCAAAGAGTAATCATCAACAGTTCCAAATCAAACTGGATTGAGGTACTGAATGCAATGTCTTGAGGGTTACTTCTAGCCCTTGTACTCTTCAGTATTTTTATTAATGACATGGTCTAATAGATGGATGGAATGCTTACTGAATTTGCAGATGACACAAAATTAAGTATGATGGCTAATACTCTAGAAGACAGTAATAAAATTCACCTGAACTGCAGGGTACCTTATATTGGAAAGCAGATTTGGTGAAAGCATTGTCACAGCTCTGCACAGCTCATATGTATCAAACTGTACTAAATAATTATGCTATTCTAACTGGCAGTTACAAAAGCGAAAGTACAATTTGTTCAGCTACATAAAATAATATTTCTTATTCAAACATTCTGTTTTAAGAATACAATAGATCCATCTTAACACTATTGTCTGCAGATTTGAAAGAGAACTGAACTTAAACAGAAATTCTGCTGTTGGATCCTCATAATTTCATATGGCAACATCTAATTTATTTTTGTCAAGAAATACATCAATTTGTAATCCATGCTATAAACCCAGTAAATGTTTCAAAAATGAAGAAACAATTAGGATGGAGAAATAGTGGACACATTCTCTCTCCTACACACACTATGTATATCCTACAGCAGCTTTGCCAACCTGCTATCTTACAGTCCAGATTTGCTGAACTATAAATCACATAATTCCCAGGTAGGCTTATAAATGAAAAAAGAAAGTTCCTGAATGCTTCTAACACTTCTCATTTGGACAGCTCCATCCTTCATTCTAAGAACTAAAAGCATCTTTTTTCCTGCCTGTAAAGGTATAAAGAGCAAAAATTAATTCTTAGTATCATTTTCCTTTACGTTAAGGGAAAAGAACTTTTGTGTACACACTGGCAAACTTCTAAAATATTGGTGAATAATTAGAAATCCGTAAGCTGATAGGAAAATCCATTTAACTATATAAAGGCTAATGCTAGATGAGTACATGAGCAACCATGTTAAGACAGAGGAGAAAGCATGTCTAAGCTTTGATTATGTATCCTTTTTATGCCTTTCAATGCATGCATGATCCTTTTCCATGATCCAGAATCCATTAGAGTTGGGCAGCTAATAAATTCTAAGCAAATAAATAAATAAATTTAGCATTCACTGCTTTTATGAAGTTTACCACAAATGCTGAGTAAAACAAAGTTTCTCTGTCTTTTCCTTTCATTTATTGATCCTACAAAATTCAGGGTAAGATGGACTCTTCCTGCTATGGAGGATTTATCTGGATGATTTATTATCTTTACTCATCAAATCTTGAGAAGTCA